CATATTCCTAGGAAATTGTCCCCACCAGGTATTAAAGACATGGCCACACATACACACACACCCACCCACACACACAGAAAGTGAGAGTGAAAGGAGACTCCCACTGGGGCCTTCAGGTGAAATTCCTTCACTTTTCCATCATATTTCATTCTTCCATCACAAAGCACAAAAAACAAACAACTTTTTGGTTTAATTTTCTCTCTAATGAGATTTATCAATAATAATTTTCTAAAATATGATAAAAAGACTAATTAAAACATTACTACAGAGCAAATATTTAAGATGCAGTGTTGATGCACAGCAGTAGGAGTTTACAGAGACAGAGGAAACTGTTGTCCGGTCTCTCATCCAGCACACCCAGTGGCTCTAACAAACCCTCCCTCACCCCCGCCGGCAACATGGGTGGGGTTAGCGTAGCTTTGCTGCTAACGAGGTGTATGTGAGTGGAGGTGGCGTGCACTAAGAGGAGGTGGAGAGACTGAGAAGGGGCAGCCAGGGGTCACACTGTAATTACACATCATGGTCCCTGTGGTCACTGCACTGACTTCTGACCACAGGGCTTCGACTTCCACTTCTGCACAGATATCAGGTGAAATGAGATGGTTGAGGAGTTTTTGCTTAGTATTTAGAAAAACTTTTATATATTTTCAATAGTTCTTCACATTTTAAACCATAGCAGACTCCCCATTTTGGGACCCAGGGGTCATTAGAAAAGGATTGCTATGAAAATATTACAGATGAAAAATGTTACCATTATTTTAAAACAAATGCCAATATTATAGAAAGTTCTTTTTGGTTGCAGATTTTTTGATCTCACGTGAAAAAGGTGCATACATAGTCAAATAGTGCATAGTCACAACATTTGTTTGGTACTTATGCACCAGTGGCTTAATCTGGTTGCATATATTCTTATGAGAAACTACAGAATCCTGCTGGTGTAATATTTGTTATTTTTGTCTCTTTGCATTTGCTTAATTTGTTGGTAAATACAGTAAAGTCTTTCTGTTTACATTTACCATAACAATATCATGTGATCGAATTACGTTGTTGCGCCTACATATAATTGGGTAACAAGATGAAACAATGGAGGTAAGCGAGTGCAGACCTCCCAGCATAGTTGTGAAAAAAATGAAAAGTGCAAGATTAAGTGTAAAAAGGTGCAAGAAAATCTTTGATTCCAAGAGGGATAAAATGACTTGTGCTGAAAAATAGCCTGACCGTTGGAGTACATTAAAGCTCAGGAAGCATTCTGATGTGGCTGTGAAGTACATAGACTTAGATAAACTTTGTCGTCATTTTGTATACACAGATTATACCCAAAACTAAATTTCGTTTGTTTAGCTTTTCCAACAGTGAATCAGCAGCAGCTTAGCAGTGAAAAAAAACATTTCTACTCATAAAGTGCAGCAGTGATCAAATGTACACAGTGTGGGAGAGACATGGTGCAAAAAGGCATTGATGTGGAAGGTTCAGAGCGATACAAAAATAAATGGTGCTACTGGCGTTAGCAATGCTTCTTAACCCTTTCCCGTGAGCTGTTAGTTTTCGCTGGGCTCAGTCAGCACTTTTTTAGTAGCTCTATCAATGACCCCTATCTGGCTTTCTGGTATTCAACGGTACTGTAGCTAGATGGCGCCACATCTCTTCATGTCAGCCCTTCGCACCCGATGCTGGAGTTCTATTTAAGCTCAAAAAGGGCAATCAGGACAGACTCTTGGAGTATATTGCCTTATTTAATCACAACCAACTGCATTTTGGTCTTTTTGATAAAGATGTATAATGTGACTGTACCTTTCAGGCACTTAAAAAACTTCCATTTATTTTCTGTCCTGCTTATCCCAAGCGAGGTCGCGAGGGGTGCTGGTGCCAATCTCCAGCTGTCTACAGGCAAGAGGTGGGGTACACCCTGAACAGGTCGCCAGTCCATCGCAGGACAACCATAAGACAAACAACCATTCTCAAACCTAAGGAGAATTTAGAGAAGCCAATTAACCTAACAGTCCTGTTTTTGGACTGTGGGAGGAAGCCGGAGTACCCCTATGCATGCTCAGGGAGAACATGCAAACTACATGCAAAAAGGACCCCGGGCCGGCAATCGAACCCAGACACTTCTTGCTGCAAGGCAGCAGTGCTACCCACTTTTCCACTGGGCAGCGTGGAACTCTAAATGAAACTGCCATGGTAATTTTTTTTAAATATGCATAGTGAATGGGGGACCAAATCACAGAAGGACACTGATTGCTTAAAATTACCAAAAACAATTTAGAAACACCTTATAAAGCACAAATTAAATCAGC